TATTTTGCATTCTAAAATTAATGCATGATTTTTAAGAATTAATGCAACAAGCGGCTCAATTTTTTGATGAATATTCTATTTTTTATGATTTTCTCTTTTTTAGTCTTTGAAAAATAAAATGAAATAAAAACGACGTCAACATATTGTGAAAATTTACAAACACGTTCTTTACATTTTTCTAAGGATGCTTGCAAAAAATGGCCTCAAAAAATTAAAAAGAAAACGTTGCAAAAAGACCCCGGGCCCACACAGTGAGGCACCTAGGGCTGAAATGGGTCAAAAACTCACATTTTCATTTATATTTTGCATTCTAAAATTAATACATGATTTTTAAGAATTAATGCAACAAGTGGCTCCATTTTTTTATGGATATTCTATTTTTATGATTTTCACTTTTTTTGCCTTTGAAAAATAAAATAAAATAAAAACGACATCAACAAATTTTAAAATTTTGTAGACACGATCCTTATATTTTTTAGAGCATGCTTGCAGAAAATGGCCTCAAAAAATGGAAAAAGAAAAACGCTGTCAAAAAGCCCCCTTTCGCGCATTGGGGCGCCCAGGGATCGGAATGGGTCAAAAATTCACATTTTTATTTATATTTTTCATTCTAAAATTAATACATGATTTTTAGGAATTAATGCAACAAGCGGCATCTTTTTTTGATTAATATTCTATTTTTTATGATTTTCTCTCTTTTTCATATTTAAAAAATAAAATAAAATAAAAACGATGTCAAAAAATTTTAAAATTTTACAGACGTGATCCTTCCATTTTTTTTAGCACACCTGAAAAAAATGAAAAAAATAAAGACCCTATCAAAAAACTCCTAACCCGTGCATTGGGGCGTCCAGGATCCGGAATAGGTCAAAAATTCACATTTTTATTTATGTTTTACATTCTAAAATTAATACATGATTTTTAGAAATTAATACAGCAAGCATCACAATTTTTTGATGAATATTCTATTTTTTATGATTTTCTCTTTTTTGGCTTTGAAAAATAAAATAAAATAAAATGACATCGAAAAATTTTAAAATTTTGCACACACGATCCTTACATTATTCTGAGCATACCAACAAAAAATGGTCTCAAAAAATGAAAAATAAATAATGTAAAAAAACTCCCGGGCCGCGTAGTGCGGCGCACAGAGGTTGGGATGGGTCAAAAATTCATATTTTTATCTATGTTTTGCATTTTAATTTTAGGAATTAATGCAAGAAGTGGCTTCATTTTTTATGAATATTCTAGGGCACCGAGGGGACGGGATATGTCAAAAATTCACATTTTTTTATATTTTGCATTCTAAAATTAATACATGATTTTTAGAAATTATTACAACAAGCGGCACCATTTTGAATATCATTTTTTTTTATAATTTTCTCTATTTTTCGTATTTGAAAAATAAAATAAAATAAAAATGACGTCAAATACTTCTGAAATTTTACAGACACGATCCTTATATTTTTCTGAACATGCCTACAAAAAAGGGCCTTACAAATGAAAAAAGAAAAACATTGTTAAAAAGCCCCCGGCCTACGCAGTGGGGCACCTAAGGGTCGAAATGGGTCAAAAATTCACATTTTTATTTATATTTTACATTCTAAAATTAATATACGATTTTTAGGAATTAATGCAATAAGCGGCACTATTTTTTGATGAATATTCTTTTTTTTTTTTTATGATTTTCCCTATTTTTTGTGTTTGAAAAACAAAACAAAATAAAAATGATGTCAAAAAGATCAGAAATTTTGCAGACACAATCCTTACATTTTTTGAGCATGCTTGCAAAAAATAACCTTAAAAAATAGAAAAAAACACTGTCAAAAAGTCATCGACCGCGCTACTGGGCGCCGAGGGCTGTGATGGGTTAAAAATTCACATTTTTATTTATGTTTTGTATTCTAAAATTAATACACAATTTTTATGAATTAATGCAACAAGTGGCACCATTTTTTGATATATTAGGATAAAAAATCATTTTGATAAAACATGCTCTTAGTACTCTTTATTTTTGATAATATTAACATAGTACCTTGATGTTTTTAAAAATATCTTATCAGTACTTTGAAGTTAATTTTTAGGACATAAAAGGTTCAAACTACCATTCATATCAATTAAATTGAAGAAAACAACAAAATAAAAAAGTTCAAGATTTTTTTTCTAAACCTATTAGTTTTTAATTAATTAAACATAAGGGTATTAAAATTATTTTACATCTCAAAAATCAACTTCAAGGTATTAAAAAAATATTTTTGAAAAAGTTAAGATACCGCTTTAATATATCAAAAAGACAGGATTTCAAGAGCATGTTTTACTATAATATAGGGTACCAAAATAATTTTCTCCCCAAATAAATCAATTAATTTGAAATCAATATTTTTTTTAAAAAAAATATGAAAATATTTTAAAACTTTATAATATTCAAAAGAAAACAACAAAATAAAAAAGTTCAAGATTTTTTTTCTAGACCTATTAGTTTTTAATTAATTAAACATAAGGGTATTAAAATTATTTTACATCTCAAAAATCAACTTCAAGGTATTAAAAAAATATTTTTGAAAAAGTTAAGATACCGCTTTAATATATCAAAAAGACAGGATTTCAAGAGCATGTTTTACTATAATATAGGGTACCAAAATAATTTTCTCCCCAAATAAATATATCATTTTGTTGTTGATTTGCTAATAGAATCGTATGTAGAACGAGAAAGTTGAAAGACTAGTAGCAAATCGATAAATGCATTTTTGGAAAAAGAAAAGAAAAGAAAGGAAAGGAAATATGCGTTTATTGCTTTTTTCTATTAGGAAAATGATATTTATTCTGATGGATAAAACTCCATACTTATAAAATGGTGGGTACTCTTATGTTGGGTTGTATTTAACGAGACCCACCTTATATAAGTAGCGGGTTTTTAACTCTATTGAGATGAACATAAATGCTTTTTTTTTTTTTCTTTTTATGTTTTTAGTTAGAGTTTTTAATGTCTTGTTGCCCTTTAATGCATGCCGCATAAGCATGTCATTAATGACATTTTACTGATTTTATTAAAATGCCATTAGTTCCGTTAAAATTTAACCGAATGAGAAATTTTGTAAGACTTCTAAAGTTCGGAAGAAACGGATGATACAAATTTAAATTTGGGAGTCATTTTGTGACAATGCCTTTAGTTCGGGGGCAGCCATGTAATTTATCCAACATAATATTTATGAGACTTTCTTCCGTAGCACTTCCTCACCGTAACCGGTAGGGTTAATTTCTGACAGTTTAATTTAATTAAAATCACATTAGATTAATAAAATATACATAACATACAATTTTTAATATGCCCATCAAACTTTTAGGGTCGCAGCAATGTTGCCTCCTAAATTTTAAAAATTCCCCATGCATTATTCTAAACTTTGCATATCTTCCACTCTACCCCTTTATTTATTTCTCTTGTCAAAACCAAAAAGAAAAACACATGTTTGCTCACGTGGATTTTCAAAGGGGTAAGTAAAATCGTAAATGTTGGGTTATTTACATCCGTACCTCTTGATTTTCGGGATCACCTTCTATATTTGGTCCATACACTTTAGGGCCTCCTCCTTTTTACCCTATGAATTTTAAAAAGTTCCTTTATCTCACTTTGCCATAACCCTTCCCTCAAAGTTGTGATGAGTTCTAACCCATTTTACATAGTAATAACCCATCCCAAAATTCCCCTCATTCACATTCCTTATAAACCTATAATTCTAATGATGTAACCAAACACTCATTCAAATTTTATTTTATGTTTAAACCTTACATTATCAAACACCAATTCAAACTATAAAAATCTCATTTATAAGTTTAAATCTTTTAGATCTCGTTTCACAAATATATTGAAACCTATGATTCTGATTTACTCTCGTAAAGACTTTAAATTTAAAATTCTCTCACTAATAATTCTTTTACAAAGTTTTTACCGATAAATCAAAATCATTGCTTTTAATGCGTGAATTAAACTAGCCATTAGTTCAAACTCAAAAATTTAAGGGCTTGTTCTTTTAGAGTTTAACTTGAGTATAATTTTTGAGTTAAATTTGAGTTATAACTTGAGTTGAACTTGTAACTTGAGTTTGTGTTTGGTTGTGTACATTTGAGTTATGATTTGAGATAAGAATCTTTTTGAGTTTGTGTTTGAGTGAGTCAAAACTCAAATTTATATTTAGATAGTATTTTAATAAAAACTCAATGCTGATGAAAAATTTTAATAGGGTATATGGGTCGGGTTTTATTCGTCTTTTCGTTGTCAACGCATAGAAAAAAAATCATCTCAATCAGAATTAAAATGAAAAAGTTATAACATTTTTAAGAATAGAAAAAATACTGTTCATTAATTTGAGTTTGAGTTTCTAAACTCGAATTCAAGGAGAAACTTGAACTCGAGTTTTAGTCATAAACTTGAGTTTGAACTCGAGTTTAAATTTAAAAAAACATGAACTCGAATAAAATTGTAACTCAAATGATCTTTTTTTAAATTTTTCACTTAAAAAAATAAGCCCTAAAACACATAATATAAATCCGTAAAATAAACAAACTATAGTATTTTTTTTTTTCACAAAATATTTATCAAGATTATCCTCACGGGAGTAGTATACTCCTTGTTTCCCCGAGCAAACTAGATGCGTGGGCGGTACACTACCCGCGGTAGGCGAGACTGTGGAAAAACGACAAAAAAAACGGTAGCTGGAAGCCTGGAAGCGAGGGGGAACAGTTATCCACGGGCGGACACGTGCCACAACTGTGCGGAGCGTACTTTTTCTTCCGTGCTAGATTCATCTTCCACTCTCTCTAGATTATTAACAAACAACATTTGGTTACGAAATTGCCATGTCAGCCTCCCTGACCCCAAAATTCCTCCCGCCTCAAAAATTCTCAATAATTCCAATTAGAATTATCCCCCACCAAAAATCTCACTCGTTTCAAAACTATTTTTATTATTAAGAATAAAAAATATTTAAAAAGAAAGAATATATTTTACCTCTTGCTTTGTTTTACCCGAAACATTTTCAGTTTTGTAGACTCCATTAATGGCTCAGTTACTGTCTCCTCTGTGCGCAGAAGCACTGAATTTCCAAAACCCATTACTGTCGAGCTCGTGTTCGAGAAGCCTATGCCGTGTTTTCGCGATGACAAGCGGTGGTTTGACTTTGACCGGGCACGGTGGGATTGGGAAGCGGAGGGGCTGTGTTGGCAGAGTCAGAGTGGCGGCTAAAGATTCGGCTTCCATGGATGCTGTTGCAGATGATTATTACGAGGTCTTGGGCTTGGTAATGCCCTTTTGAGTTTTGAATCTTTGATCTGAGTTCTGTTTGGTTGCTGAAAAAATGTATGACAGAGATAGACAGAAAGTTCTGGTTTTTATTTTTGAACAGGAAGATATTCCGTTATACTGTCCGATATAGTTGTTATTTGTTCTTTATTATTTTGCGGGTTCACGAAGACATAAGAGATAGACAGAAAGTTCTGGTTTTTATTTTTGAACAGGAAGATATTCCGTTATACTGTTCGATATAGTTGTTATTTGTTCTTTATTATTTTGCGGGTTCACGAAGACATTTTCTGTTTAGAAGACCTTTTTACGGAAAAACAAGAAAAGTTAACACTGTTTTGATGTTTTGGTTAATTTTTTAGAATTGAGTGGCTAGTTCAAAAATTGACATATTTAACACCATTTACTGGTTATAATTAGGATATTTTCGTTATTGTTTTTGAGCTGAAGGAAATTGCTATAGTGAAAAGGAGAGAGCAAGGTCTTGTGATTTTTTTTTCTTTTTTTTTTTTTTCTTCACTTTTCTGAACGGTGCATGGTAGTTTGTTTATGCAGATCTAACTAAAAGCTAGACATATGATCAGTAAATTTATGTAAATGAATGGAATACATAGAGGAGATGATCAATAGTTAAAAAACCACCTTAATAGTTTATGACGAGAGATAATCCGCAATATGTGATATGCTTTTTTTTTTTTTTTAATTGCGTTTTTGTCCATTGAATTTGATTGCATTATTGTTCTCTGATCTTCTTATTGTGGCAAATTACTTTTTCAAATTAAATAAAATGTTGTGGAGTGTTCTGAAATTGATGGATAATGTTAAGATTTGAAAGGAAACGCTCTTACATACGTGACATGATGTGCTCCGATCGACCATTCGAAATACCAGTCCTTCCTTTAAACAAGCTCACCTAACGTGTATGAGTACGATTCCTTCAGTTCTAATAACCGTCATTTGGTTGGGGCCGTTTCGTGTAATATTTTGTTAATCCAAGAGTAATTTGTTAAAATTACTCTTTAGGAGTAACTTGTCAATCGCAAAAAAATTAGTAAGAGGTTTAATGGGGCAGTGATTAACGTTTAATGATTGAATGATTAATCATTGGTTGCATTATAATTGCGTTTTTGTCCATTGAATTTGATTGCATTATTGTTCTCTGATCTTCTTATTGTGGCAAATTACTTTTTCAAATTAAATAAAATGTTGTGGAGTGTTCTGAAATTGATGGATAATGTTAAGATTTGAAAGGAAACGCTCTTACATACGTGACATGATGTGCTCCGATCGACCATTCGAAATACCAGTCCTTCCTTTAAACAAGCTCACCTAACGTGTATGAGTACGATTCCTTCAGTTCTAATAACCGTCATTTGGTTGGGGCCGTTTCGTGTAATATTTTGTTAATCCAAGAGTAATTTGTTAAAATTACTCTTTAGGAGTAACTTGTCAATCGCAAAAAAATTAGTAAGAGGTTTAATGGGGCAGTGATTAACGTTTAATGATTGAATGATTAATCATTGGTTGCATTATGTTATTAGCTTCCAGATGCCACACCAGCTCAGATAAAGAAAGGCTATTATAATTGCATGAAAGCTTGTCATCCGGATTTGAGCGGCAATGATCCAGAGACCAATAATTTCTGCATGTTCATCAACGAGGTCTACGCGGTGGGTTTCCATTTTAAATGATACAGTTTGAGCTTTAAGCGCCTATGTAAGTTATTAATTAAGATATTATTTTTCGTCCTTTTACTAGAAGTTGACAATTGCAGTGCAGGTGCTCAGTGACCCTGTTCAGCGCATGATCTATGATGAAATCCATGGCTATGCTTTGACTGCAATCAATCCGTTTGTAGACGATTTGAGCTCTAAAGATCACGCTTTTGTTGACGAGTTTAGCTGCATAGGTACGTAAAATGTAGGGGACGTGTACAACATTTTCACTAGTGGGAAGTGGAAGACTTAAATGGCTCCTCTATACTTGTTTTTCGCAGGCTGCAAAAACTGTGCCAATGTGGCTCCAGATGTCTTTGGAATTGAGGAAGACTTTGGAAGAGCTAGAGTTTACAACCAGTGTGGGAATCCAGAATTAGTTCAACAAGCAATTGATAGTTGGTGAGTCATTCATATTATTGATTCAATATTTGAGGCTTGAAAATGTTTTTCTCTTGATGATCAATCTGATTTTGCCCTTGACCTCTACCGTTCTGGATACGAGTCCTGGTAAGCAGTCTGATTAAACTTGATTTAAGTTTGAGTATTTCAGAAGCTTTTAGACATCCCAATCCAGAAATACCGGTATTAAGATAGTGAATTTCACTACCCCTAGTTCTGGGAATGTCTCTACAATAGCAGGTTTTTATCATTTATTCTTAGTAATGGTTTCTGCTGTCGTAAGAAACTTGAGTTCTTAAGACCTTTCATGTATAAAAACACGATTAAAATTTGTACACAGATCTTCTGAATGTTGGAAAAATTGTAGCTTAAATGATTTAGTTTTCAACAATTGATTGATGAATCTTTCTTCTTTCAGCCCGGTTGATTGCATTCATTGGACTTCAGCTGCACAACTATCCTTGCTTGAAGATGAAATGCGCAGGGTGGAAAGAGTAAATGTAAGCCAGATGCTCAATGCAATCTCTTTTTCTCGAGTACATATGATAAACTATATTAATGTCCTCTTCATCTAATATTCCCATGTTAAACCTCTTAACTTGCCAACAGCCCAACACTATTTTACCCCCTTCATGGCAGCAATGTAAAAGCATTTACCCCTCATAGCACGCATGCACATAATTAATTTTATTTCTTCTCATTCAATTAGCTAATGGGGTGTTCTAATCGATGGTTAGGTGGCATTGATGCTTTCAGGAATGGGCTTGTCATCAATAGATGTATTCAGAATGGTAAGAATGTTAACAGAGGCATGTATTCGTACGTACTTAATCAAGTAGTATTGTTCGTTTTTCAAAACTTGAAGATTTTCATTTTTTTGCTTCTGAAGTCGCACCTTTTGTCACCTAGCATAACGGCTCGACCATTCTTGGTTGAACTATAAATCTTTAGTTGTTTCATGACCAAAACCGGGATTTCTTTTAATTCGATCATTGACATTTGCGATATTGTTCTTTTCTCGCCAATTAAACTAGACTCATTTTTAATTATCTGCAGGCGAGTTCTCGATGGGAAAAGAGGCAAGCAAAAGTATTGGTAGGAATTCCTGATCCACTTCAGTTTTCCTATATTGTGAAATATGAACATTTTTTTATGTTCTGTTTTGTTCTATGTTAACTTGAAGCAATAGGATAATACAATTCCACGCAGTTTTGGAACAATCACTTGAACACTCTATGATTTCATGAATAGAAATAAACACATTTTCCATCTGGTTACTAGGTGCAACAAACTATGATTTTTATTTTTATTTTTATTTTTTTCAGCGACAAGCTAAAGTGAGGATGACAAAACAGAAAGATGGTGATAAAACTAATTCATACTGGAGCAATCTTTGGGGAAAGCCCAAAGAATACGTAAATTCAGGTAAGATGTTGTTTCACTTCTTTTGTAGAAACTAATTTCAATCTTACTACCATTTCACTTTTTTTTTTTCTTTCTTTTTGTTAGTGCAAAACTAAACAATACAAGTTTTATTTATTATTATTATTATTACTTTTTTTATTTTTGCAGAAGAGGAAGTCAAAGAAAGAGCAAAACGAGCTGCAGCGGCGGCTAGAAGATGGAGGGAGTACTCAAGAAGGGGTGCTGATAAGCCTCCCACGTTTAAACTTCCAGAGGAAATCTCCGACAATGAAAACTTCTATTGATTGTATTCTCAAGACCCCTCATTAGTAATTTTCTAGAATATACAAATAAATTTTCATTGGTTAGTGTATAGATTGTTATTGAGAACTCTTCTTAGCTCTATACCTCGTCAGACTCAGACATGTATAACTTATGCTGATATTGATCTCTGTAATTATGTATAGACACGAGATCAGATTTGTTAATTGCATTTATGATCAATTTTATTCAAGCATCAATGGGAAAAGGATTTAGTACTGGGTTTGACTTGTTTACATGAGTCTTACTCCAATTATTGATCTCTAAGCTGTTTATTCAAATTGGCCAAATTGTGTGTTGTTGTTGTTGGTCATACATACATGAATATATATATATATATATATATATAATATAATTCAACTTCTAAGACTTTGGAATGAGTAGAAATTTACAAAAAATAAAACTATTTATTTTGAACAACAAAAGGTGATTAATGAAGTTCAACAATGGGTTTCCACCGAACCTTACAAGGAGCTCTAGGAGCTCTTAATAGTTGTTTGAACGAATTATATTTATGCACCATCAGAACTAATATTGATATGTTTCGAACCATGAAAAAAAAAACTATATATATGTGTGTGACTTTAATTTTCCAAATTGGCTAAATTGATTTATGTCAACTAAAGATGAGATTACCATAGAGTAAATTTATTTGACTAAACTACAAGGATAATAAGTAAAATACTTAATAGACTCAAACGATGAAGAAAAAGGCCTTTAATTAGTGGTCCTAGACTAAATAGTTAATTGTGGTTGGACTTTTTTAGCAAACTGGTGCATATTATAGATTCGTTTTGGCCTTTTCTGTCGTAAAGGTGCTAAAAGAACATTTTTTTTATATGCATGTGAACCATGCGGCTGAAGGAAGAAACTGATCGGATGTTTACTCTTCCTTGAAACATTTTTAGAATTATTTATGCTTTCTTTGTGCTTAAAAATTCCTTACCCTTAGTTGTAACTCCTTATAAGAGTTGACAGATTGAGAATTGAACAGTTGACAAGAACATCTTTATTTGCAAATATTTGAGAATTGAACAGTTGACAAGAACATCTTTATTTGCAAATATTTGAGAATTGAACAGTTGACAAGAACATCTTTATTTGCAAATATTTGAGAATTGAACAGTTGACAAGAACATCTTTATTTGCAAATATTTGAGAATTGAATGGGCAGTGAGCTAATCATTGGCGTCAAACCTAAAAACAAACTCAATTGTCGTTTACTTTCTATTCTACAAGCATCCTTTTAAGCGTACTAGCAAATGCACAATGAAATTCCATAAAAGAAAAAGAAAAAAAAGTCACAAGTGTAAGATGTCAGTGAGTACTATGTAGAAAGATCTCTGTCAGTTATGTAACTTATGTTTTAGGTAAGAGATATTCAGCAGAGTTCTACGATGATGCTGGTACGATTAGATTTACCTCATATTTATAATTTAGGTAGCGACATAAAAATACGATTTGAAATTTACATAAAATTAATAAATTTATATTTATCATAAATGGATTTGGATCAAAATTAAGTTGAATCGGTAAAATACGATTAAATAACATATCATTTTCAAGTTGACTTCTCAACCCGGAATTGATCCACCATAATTCATTTATTAAACGTGTCATATTTAAGTAACACGAATATACAACGCAATTACAACCCGTTTGTTACCTGTATTGAGAAACAAGTTGAAAAACAGGTTGACAAAAAGGATGACACGACTCTATTATCACTCATTTTATAAACGAGTTATTAGAAACAGATTAACACGACACTATTATGACCTGTTTAATAAACATGTTAGTCATGTCGTGTCAACCCGTCAATATACTTGTATTTCGACACAAATAATAATTGGGTCGTGTTTATGTCAAGTCTTACCGTATCAACTAAGAGGATCAACACGATACGAACATAACACGGCAACATGAATTGTCACCCCTAGATTTACGTCACAATTACCGGTAGTTATCTACTTTTCAGCCATTAGATATGTATCAAATACTGTCTATTATGCATACTTTTTTAATGTGATGTAATTTTAAACTGTTCATATCACTATAACAAGCCTAGCTACATGGCATAGAATATGAATCCTCCACCTTTAATGCCCTGTTATTTTTACCGATTCGAATTTAGAATTCGAGTTTTGTTACAGTAAAAAACTCTCAGAAATAGTCACATCTATTTTTTTTATTACAGTAAAAAGCTCTCACATAAAATTAGATCTAAACTCAAATTAAAAAGTCAAATAAGTGAATTAAACGAGTCCTAAATTTAAATGCATTATCAACAAGATATCCTGCTATACAAAGCTTTTTAATAATAAATAAAAGAGATAATTGCAACTATATAGATCATCTCATCACTATTCTCCTTTTATCCTCAAGATATGCGATTCACGTTGGAGTTTATTGTTCTTTTCTGTGGTTATAATTATTTAATTTTTGCCGGGAAACTAAACAAACACTTTACTTGAAGTGGGAGCGTCCTTGAGTGAAATGATTAATGTTAGTGGGTATACCCTTTTTTGCTTTTCTAAAAACGGGCCATACTAGTTGTTCACTAATATCTCCATTATTGTAAGCAATAATGCACTAAAAAAATGAATGTTCATCTCGAGCCTATCTGCTATATGCACATCTTCAAATAAAACAGAAATCATGGAACCTAATTTATTTCTCAAACCGAATTAAGTATCAAAATTCACATAAAACACAGAAATAAGAACCAATAATTTACTTAGCAGAAAATTGGGCATATTATATATTCATGACTATTATTTTCATTTACAAAATTTCACCTTAACATGATCATTATTCCAAGCCAACTAGTTTTGCTGCTAATGGATTTATAAAAAATAAAAAAAAAATAAAAAAAGAAAAGAAAAAGAAAGAAAAAAAGTACATGATTTACTCTTGTTATCTGACAGAAAAAAAGGAAAAAAAAAGAAAGAAAAAAAAGTACATGATATGACTCTTGTTATCTGACAGTTGATGCAACTGTATGAGCCCAGAACCTGAGTTGATCTTTCATGTCAATATCACTAACCAAAGTTGGTATCTTCAAATTCACCACTTGCTTCATCTCCTTCTTTCTCTGATATTCCAAATCCAACACATCCCAAGCCTCCGATAGATAAGGCCTCGAAATTACTTGATCACTATTCCTTTTTATCTCATAATTATTCTTCTCCTTATCATGATCTTCCTGATCATCATCATGATCTGATCCGTCCGTACACTTTTTGCAAAACCTTTGTAACCCAGGAATCATGGAAACTAGCCTTGAATCCTTACACTCTTCTTCGGTGAAAACAAAGCCCAGATCCATAAACCCTTTTAGCTCCTCAAACTCAAGGTCAGGCAAGCTCTTACTGCTTGTTCTAGTCCTTCTTGATCTTAATTCGTTGACTTTTTTCTTCATCTTCTTCGCAGGTAAAGTTACTTCTTCAACTTTTGTTACGTCCTCTTCTTTCTTCTTCACGCTTTCTTCTTCTTCTTCTTCATGATCATCACGGCCAAACTCCTTCACTTCTTTCCTGGAGAAGATCGTTTGCAGACTCGGCGCGGCAAGGACCGAGCTCGGAGAGAGCGAATTGTCGGAGGAGAAGAAGGAGCTTGATTTGGAGGCCATGAGATGGTGGTCACTCAGTGACCTTACTCTATGATACAATAATGATGAAATAGATTCCTGTGTGGTTTCTAATTCTTTGACTAATTGGTCATCATGAGATATTGGGTTTGTTTTTGGGGTGGCAATAATTTCTTGACCAAACCAGTGTGAATCAAAGAGGTTAAGAAGAAGTACTTCATCTGCAGCCATAATATTGTTTGTTTGTTGTGTTTTTTTCTTTGGAAATGTAAACTTTGTGAAGCTTTGAGAAGAGGAGATATGTATGAGATTGAGAAGTGTAAATGTAAGCTAGATGGGCTGTTTCTGCCTTTCTGGGGTGTCTGCCACTTGTAGATAAGAAGGATATATAGATAGAGAAAAACTTGGAAGTTATCATGTGTGGGTCCAAAAAAAAAAAAAAAAAAAAAAGGGTATGAATAGTTGCTTGTCTTTATTGCCCTTGATTTAGGGTCAATATTTCACACGTGGCGCATGCGGTTAATATTATATTAGTGCACGTTTTTTTTCCAATATATAATTTAATGATATTTTAATATCAAACAGTGGTCATGTTTTCAAATTGACTGCAAAGAGTGGTTGGGAGTTCTATATTTAGACGATGATTGTTGGCTTTCACACATGTATTGGCCGTTTTTCTTTTTTTTTTTACCCTAATTTGCTGATTTGTATAATTATACACACAACTTCATATTGATTAGTTTCTTGGCTAAAAAGAAAAAAACAAGTTCTCTATGACTACATGCAGTTAAGACGTATTTATACTGTATATTAAACACAACCAAGATGATGTCCAACGCATTACAATTAATCTAGTCCACACGAGATTCAATTATATTTTAATTATATTAATGTCAGTAAAGCGCAGTGGATTGTTAGTTACCAATTAATTCTGTCTAGTTGTATGTGGATTCTTCAATTGCCAAATAAGATTATAAAAGGAAGATTAATTAAAATATTCCATTTTCTGATGGTCCAATTGCTGTGAAAAGGATGTTACTGAGAAAGAATCTTGTTTTCACTAGAGAAACCATGCATACCGAAACATTAATTAATAAATCTTGTTGAGCCTCAAGAAATATTGAAACCTCCCAATTATGAGATATAGTTGGGCAATATGCTACAAGCTTGAATTGAACTTCACAGATCATTTTATTTGACTTCATATTTCATACAGTACATCTAGTAAATGATCATGTGCACTAAACGAGTCCTAAATGAAATTAGCTCAAGTGATAAAGATCTTAATTTTAATGGTGTGCTCTCTCAAAATATAGTATTCGAATCTTCTCATATACAAATCACTTAAAGATCATGACACGGTCTAGTGTAAAAAACTACACTTACCGTGATCTATGTAGAGAACCTTCCTACCATGAGATTAGTTGAGGTGCGCGCAAACTGGCCAGACATTCATAGTTAACCAGAAAAAATTAAGGGGTTGTTCTTTTGTCTAAAAAAACTCAAAAAAAGAAAAACAACTCGAGTTCCAACTTTATTCAAGTTCATGTTCTTTTAAGTTTCAACTTTATTCAACTTTACTCAATTTTATTCAAGTTACAACTTCAGCTTAAGTTATAACTCAAATTCAACTAAAAAATTACACTCAAGTTATACTCTAAAAAAACATGCCCTTGCAACTCCTTTTATGTTAATATCTTTAATTCGTATATTTTTCTTAGGACACTATATAATATAGAGTATTGTTGCTGTTTAGTCGTTGTAATATGTGGTCCAAATAAGGGGTAATCTAGTAAGTAGGAAATTGGCACCTCGAATCTTTGGATACTGATACTTTTAAAGCTGAGTCAGGTTCTACACTACTTGTTTACATTATTGAAGTTGAAAGGAATACAATAATATATATTTTGGCTTTTTTCATAAGCACCACGCACGCGTGGGCGTGAGGTAATGGGAGTCATGGGACATTGTTCTTCAATTTATATCCCTATATTGCCCCACCACTTCCACCATAATAACATCCTCCTTGGAAGTTCTCTTCAACGATATTGGGGCTGAATCTGTTATTTATTGATGAAGATGGAAAAATGGGTCGACGGCAGATCCTGGTTGCAGATCTATAATCTAGCGTCACATCTAATTTAGTTGGTGAAAGTCCACCATTTGAGCACTAGGTAATTGTGATAACTTCTTGTATGTGACAATTGAGGCAAGTAATACTATATAACCTATCAAATTAATAGCTTTTTTTTTTTTGGCAGATCCTGGTTGCAGATCTATAATCTAGCGTCACATCTAATTTAGTTGGTGAAAGTCCACCATTTGAGCACTAGGTAATTGTGATAACTTCTTGTATGTGACAATTGAGGCAAGTAATACTATATAACCTATCAAATTAATAGCTTTTTTTTTTTTTAATATTATGCTAGATATTTAATAGGTTTATACAAAACTTTTATTATTATTATTATTATTATTTTTTGCAATTTTAATTACTTGGAAACTAAGACATCTAAAAAATAAGATATACTGCATATACTTAGTTTTTTTAATATTCGAATATAGGTTTGATCACTAGTAAAGTATAACACAACAACAATAATAATAATTATTATATTATTAATGTTATTACTATTATTATTTACCTTGAATTCATTACTTAAACGAAACACATGATTAATCATGATAACGGAATGACTAGTTTCTTCAAATGAGTAAAGACAATATTTATCGAGGTATAGCTTTGTATTTGATTGGTACGACATTTACATAAACTGAAATAGTAGTAATTAACGTGACAGATTTTAAATTTATACTATGACTATTTTAAAACGTACTTGGCAACCCTTAATGCCAACATCTTTTAGATATATGGTAACGGAATCATATTTTTGTAAATCTGATCAAATTATCAAAGGAATAAATAATTATTAATAAACATCGTGAAGGGGACTGCATAATAATGTAATGTATACAAACAAATACATACGATTACATTATTAATTTGAATGGTCATTGTTATCGTTCAGGGGAGAAAAAGAGATGAAGAATATTGGTACAACTCGTTTTTAGCCATTCGATCTGATTGGTGGGCTATTGACGATTATTCGATTGGGGGGCAGTTGGTTTCAAATAAATCAAATTGAGACCCTGTTTACTTCGCTAATTCGAGTTTAGAATTCGAGTTTTTTTACAATAAAAAGCTCTCACAAACAATCACATCTAACTTTTTTGCTACAGTAAAAAGCTCTCACATAAAATCACATCTCAACTCGAATTCTAAACTCGAATCAGCGAAGTGAACGGGCCCAAATTACAACTTAAACTCAAGTTATAACTCAAACTCAACTCAAAAACTACACTCAAATTACATAACTCAAAAACACCCAAAAGAACAAGCCCTCTGTTTGCCATTTCTCTCTCCCCGCTGCCCTTCTTTCTCTCCCCACCGCTCTCTCTCTTCCCCCTCACAATCTGAGCGATCTCCCACCTATAGATGGCGGCGCCATCGCGAGCTTTGAATCCACCGTCGCCGGCTTCATGATTCCAACATGCTGCTCGTGGTTCCAATGAGAGAAAGATGAGGAAAAATGAGGAGAGCGATGAGTAGTTCTGATGGAGGACATTTTTGGATTTTTAAAAATTGTTTTTATGAAATATGATATTTTTTTAATTTAATTTCTTTGACTAACATTTGTTTCGTATACTTTTAAAAAACTGATATTCTCTACCATTTTTGTTGAGTGGACGTTTGATTTATAGATTCAGAATCATAAGTTAAAATTATTTTTAATTTATGTGTATTTTTTATAAGAAAAAATATTATAATTCACCACAAATTATAATTCAAATTCAAATTTGACCAAAAAGATACCGAGAGTAATTCCATTTTTTTTTTTTTTTTTTTTGGAGCCCTGTTTCTAATTTCACTCGAATGCTAAAATTATTTCTTACTTGTTATTACTAAGTTATCGTTTTTTTTTTTCAAAAAAAAAAAAAAAGAAAATTGAAAGGGCATTTTCAGGTCATTTAAATATAAACTATATACATATAATCACGCCGACATGCAGCTTACTGATCATATCAAAGTTTGAAGTCTGTACACGTTTCCAGGATAAATAAACAGATAAACAAAATATTGAATTTGAACTCTATAAAAAAAAAGAAAAATTGTTTATTGTTGACGTACACACACGTGTGTATTAGATATTCTTTTTCTAAACCACGCGCACTGTTGAGGCTTCATTAGATTTATACTATTTAATTTTCTTCCTAGTCCTAGTATTTCAAACATTGATTTAGAAAAGTTAGTAAAAATCATTGTGATCAAAGCAATAATTCATTTAGAAAACGAATAAATTAATAAAATCAATAAAGGGGTGCCAACGCTTTTTCATGCAACTTTTCTACCAAGACTATAATAGGTAATGAAGGGGGAAAAGATGCGCGATAGACTTTTTTTTTTTTTTTTTTTTTTTAACAGAATATTTTTATAAGTGAATAAGGCTATTTCACTCTACCTTTTGAACCGTCTAGAGTAGGAATATTATTCGATGTTACGTGTTATATATTTTTAATACGGATATAAATATAACTATTAAAAAATTAATTAAACAGACAATAGTTCTTACGATTGAGTAAAATAACATTTTTCACCGTTAAGATTCAATAAAGTATATAAATACTTATTTTAAGAAAAACAAACACAAAGAAAGTAAAATAGGATTTCACCTGACTAATGCAGTAGAATATGCAAATTACTTGTAGGTTCACACTTGATTATTTTGCTAATGACACATTTAATAGTTTTTTTAAATAAATTATGAATTTTTAGAGTTTAAATTTCAAAAGAGATAGATTCTCAGTACTCACCGTATTGTTATCATTTAGTCTAAGAAAAGGTAAAATAGAAAGGATCTTTTCTGGTACGCTAACATAATGGTATGTCAAGTTTTCTATCTGTCAGATCTGCATAAAATCACGTAAAAATTAAAAGATACGCAGATCTAACGGTTAAAAAAACCTGGCCTATCAGTACACCAGGCGTACAAGAGAATCTCTCAAAAATAGTATGCAAATATTGGTGGATTCACGCTGATTGGATGAAACACATTTTATTTGCTATAGATGTTACTTTTCTTGATTGATTATTTGCTAGGTAATTAAAGACCTTTTCATGAACTATTGTGTTTACCTTTCTGTAAAGTTTGAAATTCAATTATCTGAGCTTT